GACTTTGAATCTTATGCTACGAGACCAGTGATCATGCTTTCAGCCCACGGTAAGTTTTGGCTCCTTTAAGCATCTGTTTTCTCCATTTTGTAACTATTTGTATAAAAAACCTGAGAGAGGAATTGACATATACCAGGACACGATTTTTTTTCAGAAGGGATTGACGTTTTCGACATGGCACAGAGAACAAATTTGTCTGTTGCTGGCATATTTGGTCCTGAACACAAGCTAGAGCTTACAGAAATGCCGTTCGCTTCACACTTAGACAATAGGTAAGCATTTATGAGCAAAGTTTGTTTTGTTCAGTCACAAGTTACACTCTTGCTTCTTTAAATTCATTTTAGACCCGCTTATATTGATATGGAGGAGTTACTAGCGCTTATGGACCGCACGCTGGCCCTTCAATCCGGGTCTACGGTAGATCAAGAAGGAAACAAGCAACCCACGATAGATTTCCTTACGGTGGTTTGTGGCTATTCTGTATTTCGTTATTTACCTAAACTATAAAACGGGATGCTTTTCAATAAACTCCCCTTCCAAATTGTTAAATTCTGTGCTGGCCTATTCTGGACTATTTCCCCATTACAGCATGGTCTCCACTTCAAAGCAACTACGGGGGAGCGTGGGAGATGCCATATGATGGTGTCGCCAGCCCCAATTCCAGTTCCGCCTGTTACTATTGATTGTTATGGAAATGTGACCGCAATCCAAAGAGCATCTGTTCCGAAATGTAAGTTTTTCTATAATGCAGTGTCGTGATCTCCCCGAAATCGCGTTGTCTGAGCTAACTATGATGTTCAAAGCTGTTGTTACGCAGATAGATGTACTAGGAACTGGAGGAATGGCGGCCGCCTTGCTCTAGTCCCCCTGCCCGTCCACCGAAGTGCGGTTGAATTCGATCTTCGGGCGTTAGGTTGGGAACAGTAAGCCCCGGTACGTTACGTTGAAGTCATCGCGGCTGGGTTAAAGGCACCGTTCACGATGATTTCGGGTAATCCAGATTATTATGAAAAATGGAAGACAAGATCGAAACTAGTGCGACTGAGGTGAAGAAACTGCGTGCATCGGTGTTTCCAAAGTGAAAAAAAGGCTAAGAAAAAACGTTAAAAAAGGGGCTAGACGAGAATGAAACCAGGAAAATGAAGAAGAGTGGGGTGTCCGGATGAGCTAAACAGTGTGTTTCACTGCGCGCGTGTGGGTCCTGGTGCCAATAACAGACAACGGTAAGCAAAAATTCATTCACTTATAAGTATAAATAAACTTAAAAACCCT